CAATTAATAATGTTATAATAATGTTATAAAACTTTAATAAATATTTATCTATTTCAACAAAAAAGTTTGAATCAACATAAAAATTTAAGTAGAAGAACATAACTCAATTTTTTGGAAAAAAAAAACAAAACAAAAAAACTTCAAAAAGTACATTTTAAAGTTTACTTTAAGTAAAAGACTGTAAGTCATATGCACTTACATTACAAACACAGGTGCCATTTCCAGATTCACATGTACCATAACCGTTACAAATCTTTCCAGACCAGCTAGGGCATGCTAGAAAAACATACAAGACTGGTTAGAAAATTCATAATTTTAGTAGATACTTTCTTACCTAAAGCAACATAAAGTACATTTAACCATATCACCATACTTGACTGGTACAGTTCACTCATACTGTATGATCTGAAAAAGTGTTAGGACATTTACATGATATAGATATTAATTTATATTAAATACTTTATTCATATATCATAATAAGTTATATTTCGTTAAAAAAAAGCAATGAGATTTTCAAAACACTTTTTATGCCATTGTAACTCACGCAAGCACAGGGAGCCCCAGAAGCCCGGACAGCAGTGCTGGACTGTCTTAAAGCCCTGACAGCTATGAGAGCACCCTGACAGCTCTACCTGACGACTGCCGATTTCCACAACGTATCTGAAGCAGGAGTCAGGACAGAACACATTAGACACAAACTTTCTGAGCGAACGGAACGGGAAAGCCTGGATAATCACATACTTGCAGCTATCGGGGTTCTGGTTGATCTTCCCGAACCCTCGCGGGCAGACGACGGCGGCGGAAGCGGCGCAGGATGTGCAGGGAGTCGTATGAAGGACTTTAACGGGCGCATCGCAGCGATTAGAAACGGCCTGGGAACGACAAAAAACAAAAGGTGACTCTGGAACAAACATTTCATATCGCTACTGTGGACAAGTAACGTAAACCATTTATAAAAAAAACACTATGAATCAAAAACGTAAGGGATTTACGCGAAAAACTGTTCTTTCAACGCAAATCTACTCTGAGGTAAAGTGAAATTTTTATATTGACGAGTTCAAATGTTTATACCACAGTATTTGTACTGTATACTTCATGACATTAAAATATCATGGTATTATCATGGCACACGTCAAAAACGTGATAATATCATATTCATACCATATGTACCATGAATTTTGTACATGTACCATAAGAGTACCATGATATTATATAGTACTATCATTGGTTACCACTGGTTGTATCTAAAAACCTTGGTATATCCGTAGTATAAATCACAGTATCATCTGATATCAGTACCATGGTACCACCTCTTTTTGTAAGGCATTTGTATAGTATTTCAAAGATAACCACTGTACTACCAAAGTATTATTTAAACCACACTTACAAAACCACACTAGGTCAGTAGCCTACCATGGTTCAGTAATTAATTACAAAAAAATAGTATACATAGGACTATGACTACTTCGATTTGTTATGGGTATGTACTTTGGTGTATTCATGGAAGTATACCTTGGAGTACCATGTAAATACCATTATAATTTGTACTACTAAAGTCCAAATACAAAAATGCCATAGTATTTTTTAAGTGCATATTCATATGCTATAGTATTTACATGGGCCTTAAATAAATACCATGGTATTACCACGGTGCATGTCCAAAAATCTTTTAACAAATTCTTTAAATACTGACTTAAAGACGTAAACAGCCTCTTATCATGCAACTTTCCTGAATGTGTCTATCAAATAACTATAATATAAATCAAAGTACCATTGTATTATCATCTGATATCAGCAATGTACCATGGTGCCACCACTATTTGCCAGGCCCAGGAATTTACATAGTATTATACAATGGTATTACCATAGTACATGTCCAAAAAAGTATTATTAATTAAAAATTATACCACCCTTACAAAAGTGTAATGGGTCAGTACCATGGTACAGTGATCAATCACAAAAAAATACCAAAAAGTAGACATGGTACCATGGCAGTATCGATTTGTTTTGGGCACTATGGTAGCACTTTTAATGGCAATACCATTTTACTTTTTTAGTTCATATTCACATAGTATGAGATTTATATGGTTTTTCAATAAATACCTTGGTATTACCACGGTACATGTCCAAAAAGCTTTTAACAAATCATTAAAAAAGTTACCTAAAGACGTAAGCGACCACTTTTCATGCAACTTACATGAATGTGTGAAGTCCATAGTACCATGAGTCCCAAAATGAGAAGATAAGACATGTCTGCTTCCCCAAAGCCAGAAAAAATCCAGAAAAGTTGTCAGATAAACATGTAACAAACAGAACTGCCTCTCCTGAGACCGGCCACTATCTCCAGTCACTGGACACAACAGAATGTCTCGATTTCATACAGCTCCAGAAAAACCTCTTCAGACCTTCTCACTCATGTGCTGTCAAGGATTTGCATGTTGAGCAGCTTGACGCGGCGCGAGAGAGGTTTGATGTGACCACACAGCGAGAGAAAGGGTGAGAAACACATCTTTTCCTGACAGGAAAATCACCGGATTTCCTCCACCGCGTTGCCTCAGTGATGGTTTGGGAAGTCCATGTTTGTCAGCTGATAAGATTGCAGGTCTCAGCAGAATTTGAAAACGGTACACTGAGCATTAGCAGATTTTTTTTTATTTCACAGGGTCACATAAATAGTAAGTGCCAGCAGTGCTAGGGTTAGAGTTGAGGTCGACTTGTTATTAAAAGTGATAAACTTGTGAAAAAGGTATTTAAACAGTGACATTCACACATTTAGTAGCACTTTTATCTAAAATATTTGATCAGTTGGCGTTTTCTATGGGAATCAAACTTCTGTCCTTGGAATTGTTAGTGAAGTACTCTACTATTTGAGCTACTGGAATGATAAAATTAGTTTTTATATCTCTTTTATAACTTTTATATCTCTTTTTTAACTTGAAAAGGCTGTTTTTTTACAATTTTATTTCTGTGCACTTGTTGAAAACACCATAAATGTAATTTGAATGGCTAAATTCAGTTAGATTACAGTAGATTGAAATTGGAAAGCAGACATTCAATATAGTTAAAGAACAGCAGCGTTCACCCTGCAGCAGTGCTGTGTCATCAGTTTGAGACTTTGAGAGTTCCTGTTATTGTGTCTGTCTGCTGAGTGATACTGTTGACAGAGATTTTTAAAAAAAAATGTTTGCTTTGAAAAGAAAACAAAATTATGAGGGCATCAGGTTTAAAATTGTCATTATTTTTATATTTTCTTTTTGTTGTCACAATTTAGTGATCAACTGTGATTTGTGCCACATAATAATTTGGGATGTTTGCTAAATATTAAACATTGGCATGTAACTCATTTCGTATCAATTTTTCATGACATAAAATGGTTCAGCTTTTTAACTTTTCTAAATGATTTGACTTTTTCTTGTATGGCAGATGATAAAACAGGCACAAAAAAAAAAAAAAAAAAAAACCTGTGAAAGAGGGACTAAAGCTGAAATTCTGAGTTATTTTTAAAACCATTCCTGAGCGCTGCGTTTTTAGACGCAAATACGCATTCTGTGTGAAAACCCCCTTAGAACATTGCCACACTGTAACGCAATAAGAAACAACTCAGAACATCCTAGCAACCACATAGCTATGTCCTGACAACTACTACCAACATCTTGGCAACCACATAGGTGATTACATTTACCTTAGCGCCATACATATAAAAAGATTTCAAATATGCAAAAGATATAAAATTTCATAACTTTTTTGATTCATTCTGAGCTCATTACTATGGAAGCCCGTTTCCGCCACTGAATATAAAAAAAAAGGTAATTGCAACATTTTTTCTATTTTTTATTCAGTGGCGGAGATGGGCTGCCATACACTACAGATGGGTTAATCTGTCAAACTCATTCAGCTCCACACAAACAAATATAACATGCAGAAAACATTACAATGTTGCAAGGCTAGTGCAGAATGCTTCAAAGAAAATGCTACAAAGACAATGGGCAATCTTTTGTAACTGAAAATTTTCCAGAAACAAAGCATACAGTGAATCCAGCATGACCTTCACCCAGGCCAGTTTGCCTACCAAGAAATAACAGGAAGCGAAGGGGTCAGACTAACAATACCAGCACTGGACACAGTAATTCAGCAGCACAGAGCAAATGTTTTCTGCCCTTTTTCACTTGTGTTCAACACGCCGTTTTAAATTACAGTGCTGAAAAACCTTTGTCAGTTTCCCCGAAGCACTGTGTTTTTGCATGACCCTGTGTGCATTTTCGTAAGTGATCTGCTAGTGGTCAGTCAGACCATGAATGTTTCTGCAACAGGCCCCGTGCACACTGGGTTTCAAAGCAGGATCTAATATTGCTGACTCTCAGTCTTCGAGGGAACAACATGGGCTGGAGATTGAAGAAGAGGTTTTTTTTTTGGTTTGCTCAACCAGGCCTTTGGTTGGTCACGCGACACACTTTAGTTTTTGTTTGTCCAAATCTTTAGGTTATTCACACAGCTAGCATTAAAGATGTTAATTTATTTACAGGTAAATTTACCTAGCATTTTAAACATTTATTGAATTAATTAATTGCATTGTGACAATAATTTTGACAAATAAGCCCAATTTTACTCCCAAATTCCAAGGACTACAATTATACCATCATAACTATTTGTTTTAATAATTCTAATTATTCTCTCTCTATATATATATATATATATATATGTATATATATGTGTGTTTGTGTGTGTGTGTAAAATTTTTGTTCTTGACAGGACACCCGCAAACAAATATTAATATGAAATTTTTACAAACACATGACAACAAAAACTGAGGTTTTTGTATTCACAGCCTGAATACATACCTCTTTCCAGATTTTATTTTGTTAGACTGGACTTTCCGTTCTGTTTTACTTTTTTTTTTCTGCGCAACTTTCTTTTTTTAACATTTTCTTCCAATTCATGGATGAAACAAAATATTTGGACATTAAATGAAGAAAAAAAAACATGATAAAAAAGAATTAACATTTACTCACATTTATTAAAAAAATTCAAAGTGCATAATCAGGCTGAATTCCCATGATGAATAATCTCATGAAGTTAAAAGCACTCTGCTTGGTGGTCTTCTGTTTGAATATCTGTACAAATATGTACAAATAAATCCACAGATTTATCTCGGGAATACTTTCTAAAATTGAATTAACCCGTTAAAACTGCATTTACATTAAAAAAAATAAAAAAAGGCTATATATCTTTTTCCGTTCATTGAAAGCCATCTGAAAATCATTTTGCCACAGAACAACAAATTTACTTAAAATAACACTGAACTGCACAAAACAGATGTTTCACATTTCATGATGCATGGCTGATTGTACAAAGCAGCAGATAAATATGTCTGAAAAGCAGCAAAAAAAAAGCAAAGTTTGAAGCCTGAGACAAAAAATATATATTATACTCGTGTGGACTCTACAACATAGCTTCCCAGGATGCATTGTGTCAAAACTGAAAAAAGTTCATGAAAACAAATGTTCCGTCATACTGTGTAGGTGAATACTGCAAATTTTCCATTGTTTTTTTGTATTTTAGCCTGTTAGCTCAACCGGCAACTCTCGGCTACACAATGTCTCCCACTGGCGAGCCAAGAGCGATATTAGCCTCTCTCTGCTATCAGCTCCTGGTACGAAAATACACCATTGCACTTCCCCCTCGGCTCCTCCGAACCCCTGCGTCCTGTCGCCCTTCCCGTCACCATCTGCAAAATGGTCCATGGTAAGGTGGCACAAAAGATCCGGTCCGGGAACGTCGTCGAACACCAGCGTGAGGGCTTGTGGGTAAGTCTGGTAGCCCATTAGCACGCGGTCCAAGTCGCGTATCCGCCGGGCGTCCGTGAGGCAGTACTTGTCTCTTTGTGGTGGCTCTTTTGCAAATTCGGGTAGCGGGTAGCTGATGTGGTCTTCATCCAGGAGGAAGACATCCGTGCTGGTGAGTATAAGAGTCTTGGGTTGTAGGACGGTCTGGTTCTGGGCGGTTTGGCCTGGAACGATGTGGACCTGGAATACCAGTACGTACAAAAGGATGTTAAAGGAGTGAGACGGCACTTGAGGGGTCTTCCTCTCCGCCACGATGAAGGTGAGGTCTCCAATCTCTTCCTCGCTTGGATATATAAACTTCACCTTGCTGGAATGGACCAGTTCGTAATTCACCATTTTACCTGATTTATGAGGACATACAAATATTCTAACATCAAAAAGTGTTTGCTAAACATCCAGTCGAAGGGTTTAGGTATGGATGAGCAAAATATTGAATATTCACAATAGTAGTCAAACCTGTGCTTTTGTTTCCAAACTGCGAGTAGAAATCCAGCTCAGAAGGTTCAGGAGAGGGAACTTTCTCCAGCAAGGACAAAACCATCATCAGCTGCTGCAGGAACCGGTGTGTGCTGTAACTGTCACGGGTCAAACAGGAAATGATGTGATCAGCCGAGGGCCCTGTGAAGAGAGAGATTAAACTATTAAACTTATTGTTTTTAGTCTCAGCTTCATTGTGGCATCAATGCTATTTACTGGCGAAACTAGGGAACCAATTCAGAGTAGAAAGCGTTAAAACTGGAAACTGTTGCTTGCTAAACTTTTTGGTGCCAATTTGTAGACACTTACATTTTGGGTTGTAAAACCAAACATGCATAAAATGGTCTGGTGTGGATAAATACCGAAAATGCAAGCTTCTCGCATTTTCTCCAGAAATAAGCAGCAATATCAAATGCTACTTAGTTCCTTAGCAGAGCTGAATTCATAAAGCATGTAGGGATGCACCGAATGTTCGGCAACCGAAATTATAAGCGAATAGAATAAGCGAAAAGACCGAATAAATTGTACCGAACAATGACGTGACGCTATCAAATAGCAACCAGCGCAGAGTAAGAGGCAGCAAACATGTCAGCAGTGTGGAAGCATTTAAAACTGTCCGAGAAAGACGCAAAAATCATTACAAGCACCGACAGCGAGAGACTGTTTAGGACTGCAGCGCATGTCTTTGATAAGAAGAGGAAGGGATGATGGTTTCTGGTTACTGTATGATGACTGAAATCGCGAAATGGCCTTAAACAATTAGTAAATAAACTGCAGAACGTAATGTTTTCTAATACGCGCACGCATTGCATGTATTCTGACAGCGCTGCACATGCTTGCGGCGGATCTGCTTGTTAACCAGGGTTCAAAGTCCAAAGCGCAAGGGAAATCTGCGCTGAAACAGTGTTGTTACTCAGTTGCTAGGTCACATTTTTATGAATTTTTACAAGGCATGTGACAATGCGATACGTGCGACGTATTCGTAATGAGACTCGTTTATAAATCTGCTGTTGTCAACAAAAAGAAACATTTAGGTCTTCCTGCACGTTTCCGCCAAAATAAAAGTTGAGAAAAAGCAAGAACTCCATCAACATTAAATAAAAAAATAAAAAAGTAAGACAATAATAATAATCATTACAACAGCTCTGTTAATACATTTATTATAACATTCACAAATAGTGTTAGGATCTGTAATATTTTCTAATGTTTTAAAAGAAGTCTCTTCTCAGCAAGGCTGCTTTTAATTGTACAGTAAAAAATACATGCCTGATTCAAGAAGGGGTTCTGATGGCCAAAAAATATTGTTTTACTAACTTATTCATTTTAAGTTAAATTGTGCTTTGTTGGTATAGTGTCTGCTACACTGTAAAAAAAAAATGGGGAAAAAAACTCGAAAAACTGTGTTCGGTATTCGGCCCAGTGTTTCATTTTGTTCGGTTTCGGCTCCTTTGGCCAAGAATTTTCATTTCGGTGCATCCCTAAAAGCATGCGCTTATATGTATTGGTACTCCTTTTGATTAACTCTGATTAATACGTCATCCAATCAAGAACCTCGGACTCATTTCGGATGGAAAATTTGACCAGTAGTGATCGTGGTCAAAACAAACTCACCCATGACTCTAAAGTACTGATCAAACAAGCCCACATTGATGCTCTGCAGGTCCTTCAGTTTGAGGGTGAAACAAAAGGAAATGAGGAAATCTCTGTCCTTGTGCTCAGACCGGTGCCAGGTCCACATCACTGCAAGATGAATCAATTTAATGAATCAATTTTAATGTTCTAGACTGATGACTAGAACAGAATATAATAGTGTATGTAAATAAACAAGACTGAATAGACCTGAACACATCAGAAGAACAGAATATACTCAAACAGTATATCAAATGAACAACAGAACCTAATATGTCTGAAGATTAGATTATAATAGAATTGTCATCGCAAATGTAAAGTAAGGTTTTGCTCACTTGATTGGTTGGTAAGTGAGGACGCCGTGTCGTCCAGGATGAAGTAAATGGCTTTGGTGGACAGCAGGACACAGGCAGTGGTCTCCACATCAGGAGATCTGTAGAAGAGCACTGACGTCCACAGGATGTGTTTCAGCTCCTCATTCTCCATCTGCATGCCAACGGTGAGATAAACACACAAGTTTTCTTTCTCTTCATTGCATAATACTGCAGTTTTAGCAGTGTTTGCTTAGACTAGGATTTCAATTGCTTAAATGTAGGGCCATGGGTTTGTTTCTTATCTGCATTTTGTGCTATATGATACCTTGATCCATGCCATTTATCTTTTTATTTTTAAGAATATAGGATGTGTCCAAGAAAACAGCCACATAAATACTCTACATAAGTGTAGGGAATTTTAATGATTCTAGTGAGGGTCACTAATGTTACACACTTCAAATGTTAGGTGTGTTTGTTTACAGTTTAAATTCAGTCTAGGATATCCTGTAAAAAACAAGACACTGATTGCATAGGAATGAGTGGAAAGAGGTTCAGATAGTCATCTTGTGAAAACAAGGCAGCTGGCCAAATGTAATACAGTCAATGTAAATAAACAAATGCACAAGGGGTTGACCGGAAGGACAAATCGATGAATATACAGTGTGACAACAGAACCACAGGAAAAACCCAAGCAATTGCTTAGAAAACTTGCTTAGGGAAAGTTTTACAGCACAACAATCCAGGGAAATTTCCTCATAGGACATGAATATGCAAAATGCGCAAATGACTTGCCTCTGCAACATTGTTTTGGAAGAAGTGAACGAGCTGGTCTCCCTTGAGAGACGAGATGAGGAGTAATGAGGAGGAGAGCGAGAGATGCGAGGGACATTGGTTGTCCTCCATCAGCTGCTGAATGAGGGATTTGGCTGGATACAGCAGAGACAGGGTCAGATGGGGCCTTGGCACTTCCTGAGGGACGCTGTGGAAAAAAAAAGCAGTGCAGTATATCTACTGTCAAAACAGACAAGAACAAACATTAAGGTTTTGCTAATTAAAGGGTTACTCCACCCCAAAAGGAACATTTTGTCATTAATCACTTACCCCCATGTCGTTCCAAACCCGTAAAAGCCTTGTTCGTCTTTGGAACACAATTAAGATATTTTGGATGAAAACCAGGAGGCTTGTGACTGTCCCATTGACTGCCAAGTAAATTACACTGTCAAGGTCCAGAAAAGTATGAAAGACATCGTCAGAATAGTCCATCTGCCATCAGTGGTTCAACCGTAACGTTAAGAAACGACGAGAATACTTTTTGTACGCGAAGAAAACAAAAATAACGACTTTATTCAACAATTCGTCTCCTCTGTGTCTCTCCGCATCACCGTAGCGCCATTTTGGAGAATATGCGCTGAACGCAAGCAGCGTACGCCCTTTTGTATCTGCGATGTCTTTCATACTTTTCTGGACCTTGACAGTGTCATTTACTTTGCAGTCAATGGGACAGTCAGAAGCCTCCCGGTTTTCATCCAAAATATCTTAATTGTGTTCCGAAGACGAACAAAGCTTTTACGGGTTTGGAACGACATGGGGGTTGAAGTGATTGACAAAATTTTCATTTTGGGGTGGAGTATCCCTTTAACAAATGCTGCCTTAGAAAAAATGAGTAGTCATTTAGCAGATGCATTTTACCTCCTCTGCTGAATTTGGTATCCAGTAAAAATGGTTTATAACGTCATCTGTAAAGTTAGGATTAGGGATATGGTAAGAGTCAGGGCTTTTTAGTCCATCTGAGCTGGGATTTCTTTTCTAGTCCAACAAGGTTAGGGATAAGGTTAGAATCAATTCTTATTCGTATATTTAAGCTGGGATTTCTATTCTTTTCCAATTAACTTCTGGACTGGTTAGGAGTTATCAACACAATTCTTTGCAAAAAATATGTGTTACTTTCACTTCTGGCATCCTTGCAAATAGTGTGGGATGTTACCAGGTTTAAAATGGTCATGACATGAATTGACCCTTCGAAAAAGCATTATTTAGAGCAGTGTTTCCCAACCCTGTCGAGAGCAGCTATTATATAATATCCATTTCTAATGTCGCCAATAATTAGAGATGCACTGAAATTCCGGCTGCCGAAAATGAGTTCACCGCTCAGGATTCACTTTCACATGGTGTGACGCTCTGCGTGTTATCCCGCGCTATGCGTGTGCGCAGTGTTGCCAACTAATTTTAAACTAGACTAAAATGCTCAGACTTTTAGTTGACTAAAAAAAGAGTATGAACGTGACTAAAACTAATAAAAACTAAAATGACAGTTTCACACAAAGACTAGACTAAAACTAAAAATTTAAACAGGCCGCCAAAAACAACACTAATCAGAAGGTAACTTGTTTCAACCTTTCAAGCGGAAAGACGTCAATACACACCAAGTTCAAGTCCACCAACTTTAATCTGATCTCCTGTCTGGTTTGTTTATCAGACAAAATGGCAGATTTGGTGTTTTGATTGGTCAGATCACCTGTCAGTCAAACTCCCAGCGAAGAGTGAATTGAAAGACCGGTTAGTAAACAAGTTTTTCATTTGGTTTAAGGGATATAGAAAAAACTTAATTGTCTTTTTGAGCTGAGATTACTTCTAGTCTGATGAACTTCTTGTAATTTAAACAATATGATGACACCAATTCCCAACTCCAACTGACGGACATTGATGTTATTGCCAGTGAATGCTAGCTACATGTAGTCCAGAATATCCTTGCTGAAGTGTCTTGTTAAAAATGCACAAATGGTGAAAGCCTTTACATGGTTTGAATCTAAAACCTTTCAGTTACATTCCAGCCTAAAGCTTAGGACTGGGGCTAAAATGGCATCTATGCTAACATATATTTGAAAATACTAGTAATGAATGCACTCCAATACCTGCTGGCAGGTATTCTTTCCGTGGCTGTAGCAGGAGCGGGACAACTGTGCACTTTCAAGTGTCCTTTCTTGGTGCACTGGAGGGCTATGGTCTTAATTTCCCTCAGACTGGACCGAAGCTGTGTGAACTCTCTCAGGAACATGAACTTGTCTTGTGGAAGGGCAAAAACAACAGTCAGGCACTCATGACCCACCATCAGTTCTATAACATGCTCATCGTAGAAAAGGCGAGAGTTTGAGACAGCCCTACACAAACAGCACTGCTTTGGGTCGAGAAGCGTGAATGAGAGTGGGATACGGGTTACTTTGGAGCAGCTCTGCATCATACTTGCTTCCGTAGGGTCCCGGGACGCCAGAGCAACAAAATCTACCTTGAGAATACAGAGGTACCGAGAGGTCAGGAAAAGGATCATTGGATTGGAGGTTTGGTCCTGATCGCTTTCAAACAGGCTGATTTGGGATAAAACATCTGAAGGTACTGAGTTCTTTGGAAACTGTGGGTTGTTTGCGACATTCTTGTCAGAGGTAGATGAGTCTAGATTAAGGAAATGGATCAAGTATCCGCCTTTAACACTGCCCTCACTTTCCTCAAAGTCCCAAGAGTTCAGAAACTGTCGGACAAGGCATACATTTATGGGATACAATATGTTTCGGCATAACAGAAACAAAACACAAGATTATAAGAACTAACCTGCTCTCAAAGGTGACCTCCGAAGACAAACTCGAATCAATTTGAGTTTCCACCTGCAAAAAAGAACCAGTGGTGTGTTTTTGTTTTTGCTGAAACTACAGTACTAATTAAAGGGGTCATATGATGCTGCTAAAAAGAACATTATTTTGTGTATTTGGTGTAATGAAATGTGTTTATGCGGTTTAAAGTAAAAAAAACACATTGAGAAAGGAAAAAATGAAATCGCATCATATGACCCCTTTAATTAATTGTGCTATAATACAAACCAACCTGCGGAATGACATCACAGGTTGAGCTGTAAACATCATAGCATCTCTGGGTACGTGTAGAATCCACAGGAGTTAATATCTCTTTGGTAATAAAAGCTTTTTCTTTACAAGTAGTTATTTCTGAAAGAGAGATAAAGTCATTCTTTAGTCATTGAAGTTCTGTTCACACAGTACTATTAGATGTAGTGATGATGAAAATGGATGGTGATGATCTGATTTGTTTGTTCAGTCACTATATGGTCTGTCAACGCTGGTTGATATAGTAACAATGCAAATGTCAGGATGATGTCAAGAGACTTCCACATACAACGACTGACAGCAGCTGTCCACCGCTTGAAAAAATAAATCTGACTTTAATTAGACTTCAAACCACATATGGATAAGTGTTGAAGAAAGGCTTTTGTTGTTACAATAAATAAATATAAAATAGTTTGGAGTCAGATACCAAATACCTAAAAATTAACTATAAAAGTTAATTACACAAACTTAAAAAAAAAAAAATCATATAACGAGCGTGTTCTGTTTTATAAGCAAATTAAATGGAATGCATAGAAGATTCCGAATGCATAGAATGCATAGAAGATTGTGCTAGAGTATAATATTCCATTAATATTTCAGAAAACATTGTTTAAATCACATTTTATAGGACTGATAAACTATAAAAGTTAATTACACAAACTTAAAAAAAATAAAAATCATATAACGAGCGTGTTCTGTTTTATAAGCAAATTAAATGGAATGCATAGAAGATTCCGAATGCATAGAATGCATAGAAGATTGTGCTAGAGTATAATATTCCATTAATATTTCAGAAAACATTGTTTAAATCACATTTTATAGGACTGCGTAACGCTGAATATTTAGATGCTGTTTGCAAAAATGGAAAGTCTATCAAAGCACCCGAGGCTGTTGCTTAGTAACTAAAACTCAAAGAGACAAATATGGATATCAAATGCTTTATAAATCAGGCCCAATCGCTATTAGAGCAACACATGCAAATTAACCACCACAAAATTCAATGTTTAAGCTAGTTAAAAAAAATGGATGCCCAGTATACTCATTCAAAGCACAGATATGAAAAAATCAATTAGGAATGCTGATGAAACATGATTTATTTCATAAAAAAATGGATGCCCAGTATATACTCATTCAAAGCACAGATATGAAAAAATCAATTAGGAATGCTGATGAAACATGATTTATTTCATCTGCAGTGCAGAAACGGATGCACCAAATCTCTGAAACGCAATTATGACCGGCAGAGCTGCAGCAAGTCAGTATGCAGGAGTAACTGAACAGAAATGTAAACGAAATGAGATTTAGAGATCACTGGTGCAAGGAAAACTGCCAAAAGTCTTTCTATAAAGAATAACAGTTCAATAGTTTCAGATATCAAATGAAAATGATTCAATAGTGCCTGATTACTCATTTACAATCATTACGTAATGAAGAAAAATACATGTCAAGCATGCTAATTATGTCATTCCATTAGAGGGATTTATTTTTACGCTTTAAAGGTGAAGTGTGTAATTTTTGACGTTAAAACTCTCTCCTCTCCCATCTTAAAATGCAGACACAACGAGTTTGGGGTGAGACTATCTGTTTATCCTGTTTGAAATAACACACTTCACTTTTAATTCTCCATTTGGGTTTCCCCCCCTCGTCCCAGCAGCGCGATACATACATGATTACCTTGACTGGAGCAGGTGAAACGAGACAGAGAGGGGGAGGAAGAGGAGGGCGGCGCGACGAGAGAGGACGAAGAGGACTGTGGCCTGCCTGCGGCCTGCCCCGGGACGTCACTCACCTGACAACGATAACATCAGGCTCCTCTTTAGCCAAAAACACAGTGTGACTAATTCAAGACCCCTAGAGGTCAATGTAAAGCGTGCGAGGAATCGTAAACACCTTAATGTTCATTTAAAGTTTTACAACATGTCCAAACCAGAACGACGAGCCATAAATTGAGTTTTTCCACCCACACTGAAATCTCATTGGTCCAAATCCTGCTCCATAAAAACATCAAATATCTACTGATTGGCTGTGGATTTAATGCAAAATTTCACTTACTTGATGCTCAAAACGTCATGCCTGGTTAGGACACAATGTTTAGTATGAAAGATTCAGTACACATAGAAACACAAAGGCCACAAATAATGTGTTCTTGTTATTACCGTAACTCGGTTTTCTGTCTAATTTCATAAAAGCTCATATTTGCAACCATTTTACATGCCATTTTATTATAGATGATTTTGCCTGATATGCTTTCTTAATTCTTAAATTAAATGTAAAGAAAACCATTTTAATAATATTTAAAACAATATTTAAATCAACAATACATAAATAAATAAAAATCCTGAGACTCAAAACTGAATGGCTGTATTGATGTACTGATTAAGTATTTTTCTGTCATAGTAATTATGATAATTCAGAGTCACACCGCAATGTTTAAGATATACTATAATATTACAATATCCAATTTTTAAGTTAATGCATAATCACATTTATTTAAAGCAGAACTGCAGACATGTGGAGTGCAGATGATATCCAGTCACTATCAGAGTCTGGCCAAGAGGAGGCACCACAACTGGTGTCTTTCCCTCCACTGGAAAATTTGTGTTATGTAATAGATGCTGCTGCCACACCAATGCATCAATGTGAGCATATAAAGCCAGACAATGAATCATCTTTTTGTTGATTTCTCATGTCTGGATATCAAGGTTTAGGCCAATTCACACCTAAAAGATTGTCACAATTAATTCAAAGAAAGCCAGCACGCTCCTTCAAAACACTATCAATACATCACAAAATGACATTACTCAGAAAACCATTAATCTGCCAGATAATACAGTTTGAATTAGGACCTATTACATAACTTTTCATTCAGGAGGGCTTTTACGTTAATTTGTTTCCATTGTCAACCGACTTTACATAATTATTATTTCTTTATCTTTTAAAGATTTCCTACTAAACAAAAGCAAAATAAACGAATAATAATAAATGTTAATAGCAATAATAAGTGATAATAAATATTAATAGCAATTATAAATAATAATGTTGTTATTATTATTAAGATTATTGTTAATATTTATTTTTTAATCATTTTAAAGTTGATTTTCAAAATACCTTTTTCTCATTGTTCGCCATTCGGTCTTTGGCCTCTTTTGCTTTCTGAATGGCTTTCAGCACCTCCACCGTGTCGAGCTCTTTTTCTGTGGTGGTTGTACCATCCAAACACACCTGCATGACAAACATGAATTATAATTTTATATATATCAATGGAAAACAAATTCAGAAAAATGCCCTAAAAAATTTATCATAAATAAATGTCAATTATTTGTTTAATTTGCCACTCTTTTTTTCCTTACTGCAAACTCCAGCAAAACGGTGGAGTAAACAGACATACCTCGTAGGCCCGGTCACAGAACTGGGCCAGAACTTTCGTCCTGTAATCTGGGATGATGCACATGGGGTTATCAGCCAGAGACAGTTTCTCCAGACAGGGAAGAGTGCCGATGTGTTTGATTTCATCCAGCTACAAAAAAAAACAGAAGACAGAGAATTATGTTGAGCAAATGATGGTGTCAAGAAAATAATGTCTAAGCAAACACTGTAATAAACTACCTGTGCTAATCTGTTGCTGCTTAAATCCAAGTTAACCAATGAGTAATGTTTACTGAGGCCGGAAAGCGTCTCCAACTGATTCCCAGACAGATTCAAAGTCTTGATATTCCCGAGTTTAGTGTGAACGCCCTCCAGGACCGTGAGTTTGTTGAAGGACAGATCCAGATGAACCAGGTTATACAAATGCTGCAGTCAAAATAATAAGAAATAAATAAAATACTTGAAAATTCATTGAATTCTAAACGTCAAACCTACTTTGCACTTTAAAAGTAAAATTAGGAAATTATCTAGAGACAACACACCTGGAGGTTTTCCACTAGAGACAATTCATTATAGCTGAGATCAAGGAATTCGACTTCAGGAATCAGTTTCTGTGCCAAAAAAAGACCAGGAAAATCTCAACTTTAAAGCTCAATAAAAAGATAAATGACAACTGATGTTTATTTCAAATAATGTACAACAGAAACCATAACTCACCACTAGGGCTGTCAAATTTTTTTTTTGAATTTCGAATATTCGTCGAATTTAAAATAAAAATCCACATTCGAATGCAAAAACGTTGCAATTTTAGGTGTACGTTAAGGAGGCAGCCTTATCAGCGGCGCACAAGATGCGATGACGATGTAAGTGTCGTTGCATTATAATGTTTTTGTTAGTCTATCCAGTTGAAGCCACTAGATGCGGCGCTGCTGTGTTGTTCATTCAAAATATTGCGGGAAAAGAGAACGTTAATGCGGAGATGATGTTGTTTACATCAAAAATTAGTAATATTTTGCTCGATGCGCCCTTTTGTGGCCTCAGAAGAGAAGCCAAAAGCTTTTCTTCACCCTAACTGAAATTATGCATTTTAAATTCGAGTATTGATAAAATTTAAGTACAAAATTCGAATTTAGTTTTTTAGCCATTTTGACAGCCCTACTCACCACCGAGTCATCAATGCAGCGTATGAAGTTTCGGCTCATGTCCAAAGTAGTGAGCATCTTCCACGTGGGAATGATCGCCGTCACGGGACAGTCCGTATCAACACCCTCAGGTTCCCACTGCGCAAATTCGGACGCTTCAGGAACTAAGATTTCCTATTGAAGACGGAGCATACATTATCATTCGGACAACTTTCAGCGCCACTGAAAAAAATTGTTAGTTTTAAGACTTTTGTTTATCATTTTTACTTTTACAGATGCAAAAACTTTCTAACCTTTTAACAGACCCTAAAAACATTTCTTGACACACGTTCCTGCATTTTTGAGATTCAAAAAACAGCAACAAATGGTCTAGCGTACCTTCATGCTGCTGGCTGAGAGGTGTATGCTGAGCGTGGCAAGAGTGGGCTTTAGGGAAGGCAGATCTTTGATTTGTCCGACGTCACAATCACTGATCTGAGAATGAAAGTTAAGTGTTAGAAACATCATCCACCACAGACCCTCACAAAACACAAACCGTGAGTTTCTTCACCTCGATCTGAAGCAGCGATTTAAAGATGGACAGGTCAAACGGGAGGCTCTGCTCCTCGATGTTACTCGTGCCCACCACTGCTTTCATTCCAGGGATCTGAGTGTGAAGATTTAATGTCAACGGCAGATAAAACAGGAGAGTTCGGACACTTTTGTGCATTTTTTTTTTACTATTTCTTATACTGTATTTTCAATAGAGAATATAAAAATTTTGAGATACCAACAGTGAACCAATATGATACATTTATACAGTTTATATATAGAAACTGATATTGGCACTAGTATTTGATGACATTTAGTAAAGTGCCAAACTCAAACCTTGAGGTACTTGAGGCGGCAGGTGAAGTCCAGGATGTGTCCCAGGTCAGCTCTGGCGTCTCCGTTGGCACAGGTTGGTTTGGCGAGTTTCAGCTGCTGTGAGACGGCGTACAACTGGAGCGGCCTGAGGAGAAACACCTCGCCTGCAGCCAACAACTGCTCACCTAGAAGAAAAGACACAACTACGACATTTTAGAGATCTTAATAGAGGCCGTACAAATCAGCGAGATTTTTTACAAAAATAAATACTTTAATTCAGCGGGGATGTATTAAATTGATCAAAAGTGAAAGTAAACATTTAGAATATAAAGATTTCTATTTTGAATAAACAGTTCTTTTGAACTTCTTATTCATTAAAGAATCTTGTTAATAAATGCATTGATGCATATTAAAAATATTAAGCTTGTTGAATAATTAAGTTGAAGTTTTCAACTTTGATGATAAAAAAATGTTTCTTGAGCAGTAAATCAGCATATTAGAATGATTTCTGAAGGATCATGTGACACTGAAGACTGGAGGAATGATGCTGAAAACTCAGCTTTGCATCACAGGAATAAATTACATTTTAAAGTATATTTCAACAAAAAACAGTTATTTGAAATTGTAACGTTTCACAATTACTGTTTTTACTGTATTTTTGTTCAAATAAATACAGCCTTGGTTGACACAAGATACTTCTTTCAAAAATCTTACTGACGCCAAATGTTTGAACTAGTTTAATGTAAAACTGCTCATATTATGTATTATGCAAAATTAGCAGGTAAAAAAAAAAAAATATATATATATATATATATATATATATGCAAAATTTCACCAGGGGATTTGTAGAAAAATGCAATGAGGGTTATTTTTTATAATCTATTTCTATTATTTTTATCATCATCTTATTAATTGTTATCATTGGTCAAATATGAACAACAATTTTATAGGTACCAGATTGCAGTTATCCATCTTTTCTATACTACATTAAAATATTTGATGTCTGATTTCACTTTAAGCATGCAAAAGTCTCATTTGGAGCTTTATTATAATAGGATGGGTTTATAATATAGCCCATTACATTGTTTATCGGCCAGTACATTGAATGCTGTACATTTCAAGCATATAACTCCAGAAATGAATAACAACACACCCTTATGAAAGAGCTCTTCAGCCAGGGCCGCAGCAATTCCATTGATTTCCTGAAAATAATGAAGTTCAAGTCAAAGATGGATTCTCTCACAACAAACCTTATTCAAACATTACATTTGGTCGTTTTAGACGTTCACAAATTACAATGAGTGGCCTTGTTCATAGACTAAACTGCAAAAACTGCACCAGCCGAAACAGCAATGTCACTGGAATGAGTTTAATGACCTGCATGTGCTTCGTCAAATCATTTCCTGAAAGACTGTACCAGGGGAAAGCAGAAATAACTTCTGATTTCCTCATGACATCCTGTTTAAAGGAACAGTTCACACCAAAATTAAAATTTACTGAAAATATACTCACCCTCAGGCCATCCAAGATGTAGATTAGTTTATTTCTGCATCAGAACAGATTTGGAGAAATGTAGCATTAAATCACTTGTTCACTAATGGATCCTCTGCAGTGAATGGGTGCCGCCATTATGAGAGTCCAAACAGCTGATAAAAACATCACAATAATCCACACGACATTTATTTAGAACTGTTTTGGCTTACAAATCTGTGCATATTTCTCTCCTGCTTCAGACGAAGCAACTTTTTCACAGGAGAACGCGATATTATGGATAGAGCACTTTTTCACTTCACAAGACATGAACTGATGGACTGGAGTGGTGTGGATTACTTGTGGATTATTATGATGTTTATATCAACTGTTTGGACTCTCATTCTGATGGCACCCATTCACTGCAGAGCATCCATTGGTGGTGAGCAAGTGATGAAATGCTACATTTCCCCAAATCTGTTCCGAGGAAGGACAAACTCATCTACATCTTGACATTTTCTGCAAATCTTCATATTTTGTTGAACTACTCCTTTAATGATTTGCGTGTGCTTCTTCAACTCATTTCCTGAAAGATCTCGCCAGAAATGCAGAAATAACTCTGATTTCCTCATGATACCTTGTTTAGAACTGTTTTTCTTTCTACACATTCTGAGAAAATGAGTTCTAATGCATGCTGATGTGCACAAATGCCAATGCCAAAAATGCCAATCAAGGACAAATGCACAAACATAAAGCTCGTCTGCGCTCCAAAACAACTCAGTCCGGTCATACGCCTATTCCAGACAAAAGCCTTACAGAGATCAATATCAATACCACTACTGTGAGCACGAGAACATCACTTACGGCCAGATAACAGGCCTTGCTGTTCCTAGAACCTTTTATACGGCTGAGATGAGAGAATGCAGTGCAACACGATTCATCTTCACAGGATGAAGGCAACAGAGCAAGAGTTGCATGCAGTTGCTTTGGATGGATTACACACAAACTCCGGTTAACATTTAACCAGCATGTGACAGATAAAAAGGAATCTTCTGTTTACAATCTTCTGCTTCCTATCAAACACAAAGCACATAAAAACTTACATATAAGTGAAAGAGTAAGAAGTTAGACAGGACTTTGGGGGTCGAAGCAGGGAATCTGCTCAGGAGCGTTTGGAGATAAACCTCCAGCTCCTTTTGTCGCTTCTCCACGAGGCTTTTGGAATTTTTGCCGATGATCTTCTTGGGCGGCAACAGATGCTTATCGATCTTCTTCTCCACAGTGAGCTGAAGTCAACAACATTTAATCAGTTTTATCAGTCACTCACTGTGAACTATGAACACAATGTCAATATCTGAGGTCTGATCTGTTGTTGATGACATAACTCACTTTTTCGTGCAAATCGTGAAAGTCGCTGTATCGATGCTTGACAGTCCACCTGTGATCTCCAACATTCACCTCTATGATGTAAACCTGAAAATATATATATATTTAAAAAAATATATACATATCTTTACATTTGTTTTTCATAATTAATATGACATTATTCGCTAATATTTCTCATTAATGGGTGTTTTAATCTCTGCAAACCAACAAACACCTCTCCACTTTATCATACAATCCACATAACAATATAACTGTGTATTATGCAAATGATCATGCAAATAATTAAAAAGGCCTGACACTAACCGCTATTATTATTATTATTATTATTATTATTAATTAGTAACAATTAAACACGTGATTATTTAAACATTGATATATTATCCCCATATTTTTATTTATTATTAACAAACATCCGCTCTTATGCAAGAAACGTGCTTTATTAAAACGTCTGCTTTATCTTAAAGGTAACACAACTAATCTATTAACCAACTAAATATACTTTTAACCACCAAATCTAACAATATAAATCCCTTTCATGTATTTATTCAAAAATTGCTATCATAAACGTGAATATGCGCTGAACAACCGACCCAAACGAACCATATCAAACTAACCGTGTAATTCTCCACCAGCTCGGATCCGACGATACGGACGCGTTTCTCCGCGCTCTGCTCCGGTAGATGCGGCGCGTCCATCTTCACTTCAGCGCGAGTTTGAGCGCGTCGCTATGAAAAATGCAAAACTAGCTGTCATGTCGCGCCTCCATCTTTGTTGTGGTTTAACTGGAGTGAAGCGCCTCCTTCTCGTATTTCTCACGCACCGCGGCGCTCACACACAAAGAGAGCTTTATCGCCCCCTACCGTAGGAGAACGTTACTACTCAAGCTCAGTTTTATATCGTCAGCAAAACTTCAATTATAGATATCACTCCATTGATCTAAATTAGGGTGAATTCTGTGAGATTATCCTATTTATTTTATGAAGTGATATTTCACGTAATTGTCTGATCTTTTAATACATATAATGAATAATATATGTAACGACTTTATTTGTGTTGGATATCAGAGTAAAGCTATACTTTAATAGAATTTTGATATTAAACACATTTTCTTAAATATTTTTACATATACAAATACATATGTATCTAAAACACATGTTTATGTGACAGTATTTCTATCACAAACCCGCTAAACTCATGCAATTTCTCTATGAACCTCTAGGGGTTTCAGAAGCAAGGAATTGTAACCAATTCTACATTAACAATGAATCAAATCTAAATAAATAATTACAAATTGTGACAACTTTAACAATTCTGTAAATTAGATTATAATTGATCAATTTGAATGATATGTAGCCTATGTGTATAAATTAATTCATAAATTATCGGTCAAGTATTATTATAAATATTCTTACAAAATAATATTAATAATGATAATAATTTAGCTACCATGACTGCAAGAAAGAATGCTAACAATTATTTCAGAAAATATATATTTATATAACTTACATGAAATAAATAAATTCAGCTCACATATGTGAATGTAGTAACAAAGGAGGGTTGGTAAACCTCAATGGACACAAACAGAGCTGGGTAGTAATGGATTACATGAAATCTGGATTACGTAATCAGATTCCAAAAATTAAGTACTTGTAATTAGATTACATTACATTTTAAAATACTCGTAATCAGACTACAGTTACTTTTTTATTGATTACATGATATCACACAATAGCAATAAATAACTCATATTTTATATATTCTCCATATTCCTCTTTTTCATCTTTTAAATTTTCCTTTGTAAAATAGCCTACCACTTATATACATTCAGAAAGTCTTCCCGTTTTGTGGACATTCACCCAAAGACCAGTCACAAGTCAGGTGGCTACACAGCATGTGACCACAGCATGTGTTAACCATATATTACTATTGTTTGCAAGGCTTTTGTCTTTAAAACACATTCAAATGCACAAATTCACGTTATTTGTTATTTACATATAATACAGGCATTTACAAACTCTTTTTTTTTTTTTTGTCATCTGAACTTCTTTCACCTAATATATTTCATCGAAGTACCCCTGAGATTTTTAAATAAATACTTTAATAATTAAGTATCACACTTGCATGTTCATGATTCTCTGACGTTGGTTATTGGTCACATGACATGCACGTAAGCAAATAAAATATTTGAAATATTTTTAAGTGTTTTATTTTGATTGATGATATTTTCAAATGATTTATTTAAATTTTACATTTATATAATTTAATTAATTATTAGCTTTTCATTAAACTCACAAAACCCCTGCAGTTCCTTTACGAACCTCAGTTTGGGAAATCTTGACGTAATGTTTAGTGCACTTCATGTTGTTAATTACAACGAATGGAATATATTTTTTTACTCTTTGTATTTTTATATTAATGTTACACGATTATCCTATTTAATTCAATGTAATAAACGGCTTAGGTCAAAAGTAACCTAAAGTAATCAAAAAGTAGCCTCATTATATTAGCCTACCTACGTGTAATGTAAAGGATTACGTTACTAACTACACTTTTTATCATGTAATTTGGAATCAGTAACGGACTACAATTTGTAAGTAGGCTAATGCCTAGCTCTGGACACAAATCACGATTTTTGGTTCTCAGAGTGTTCAGAAATGTTAGTTTATGGTTCCCACAAACTTTCTTATTTGCTTCCCTTCTAATAGCATGTGAACCATCTTATTCGAAATAAATGATATGATGCACTGAGTGTTCTAATCACGCCAGTGTGATTGTATTAAATATAGAAAATATTAATTTGCTATTTTTTGTCTTTTGGATGCTGCATTCAAAATCCACTTGGCTCAAAAAACTGAGGGCGCACGTGCCCCCTCACTTTGAATGGGCGAGGGCGCACGTGCCCCTCACTTTGAATGGGCATGACGCCTCTGGCCTTCATCACGGAAATGTCTATTTGACGTCTGCATTTACATCTGCAGATGTATTTTTTTAGAGTGTTTGCTCATCTGCAATATGTTTATAGGACCTTTCCTATCAGATGCCTGCAGTAGCCTACATGAAGTGTTTCTATTGCTTCATGAAAAGGTCTCTGAAACGTCTGTATTCGACAAATACTGCATTTTATTCACTTAATATGTGATAAAGTAAGCAAACACCGTGCCAACAGCTCTATGGAAAGCAGAAAGAGTCCGACTTCACGTACGCTTTCAATTCCGCCCCCGACTGCAAGCTGCAACTCTCGCCGATCGGTCTGCGTAGCTCCGCATGAAATTGAACACACTGCCGTTCCCAACATGAGATCCAGACATCGGCATTTATAGGATAAAAAAAAAATTTTTTTTTAAGTTGTAAAATAACTGCCTAATAACACTAACTGAACACTGGTGCCGCAAAGATAATGGACTTTCTCATCGGAGCTGATCAGCGGTCTAACAGTGCTGTCGAAGTCAAAATGACAGATGGCCAATCAAATCTATCCATAAACTGTACACGAATTCGGGATCGCCTCAGTCCCCTTTAAATTTCATCTGAAAATGGCTCCTCCCCGTCTTTCAGCGCGTTCTTTTTCAATCTGCAGTAGTGATGGGAAGTCCGGTTCTTTTCCGCGAACCGGTTCTTTCGGACAGTTCGTTTC